TATATATATATATAATAATATAATACTGTAATATAAAGCTCACTGGATTATTGTTCTGCTATATATCGCCATCTAGTGACTGAAAGTATTATATTTTGTATAAAGTACACCATCAGTACACAATAGATCTGTCTTTTTTTATTAGCTAAAGTTTTTACACAATTCGTCTTTCTTCTTTCTCTTCACGTTGGAGAGAGAAAGAATAAAGATGAACCATGCAAGAAGTTCAGCTAAAAAGGGCCTAAAATCATATACGTACCCAATAAAATGTCTATATTTGTTGATATTATATTTAAGATATACCGATCGAATACCGTTGATTTTCTTTCACATTTAATGATCCATTAATATTTAAACTGTTAAACAAATGTAATATTTTTCTTGGATTATAATACTACAGTATGAAATTGCGCAGCACCTCCTAGTATCTGCTGTAGCCTCTGTGGCTGACTACTAACTGCTGGAAATAGCGTATTCTGCCATCTAGCTACACTTTGCTAACTATCATGCAAACAAAGAAATTTCTACAATATCGACATTGTGATATAGTTATAAAGTAATTAAAAATATATTTATTGTTAAATAAATTAGACATCAAATAAAATATTTGATTTTATTCACTTTGAATAGTACACTATAAAGTCAAATGAATATTTATATGTAGAGGAAAAACAAACAAATCAATGTTTAAGAAAAATGAGAAGTATATTGAAATATGTAATCAAATTATAGATATGATATATTTTCGATAATTAAAAGTGTTTGAAAACACTTTTTAGAGATCGACTATTATTCTTTCTATGATTATATTTCCTTGATAAAATATAACATAAAAAAATATAAAATATATAATATTTATAATATATAATATTATTATAATATAATCATTTAGTGGATTATATTTCCGTTGATTACATTAATAAATAGAAAAAAACACCCATAAATATATCTGAGAATTAAATTCCAGAATGGGTAAGTTAACTTTTTTTAAAACTTAAATTAAGTTAAAGTTAACAACCTTAAAAATTTAATTTAGTTAAGATACAAAATTTAATTTAGTTAAGATTAATGATGATTTATAATGAAATTAATTGAATTGAAAGTTAAGTTAATAAAAAAAGCAAGTAAAATTGAATATTTAAAAGTTAAATTTGTTTTTATTTTTTTATTTCATTCTAGGGTTCCAATTCTTACAAATAACGGAAATAACAAATATATACTTCATTTAGAAAATATTCTATTCTATTTACATATTTTGTTTATATATACACTTATTAAAATTAAATAATAAAGCCATTCCGAAATTTTTGTCGGATATCTTTTTTTGCAAGTTATCGAAAATGAGTCCTCTTGCATTAAACAGTCGGTTAATGTGAGCCCACGTGAACTGAAGATGTGATATGTTATATTTTAATAATAAGGAATAATAGATTTCAATCTATCAAAAATATACATAGATACATCAAAATACACGATTTTTGACAGATTGAAATCTAGGGGTCGATTATGGAATTTGAAAAATGAAGTGAAAATTACAAAAGTGAACAAATTCAAAATAAAATATTTATAATTTCATTCATCGACACCTAGTAAATTTATTCACTTTTGCAATTTTCACCTCATTTTTCAAATTACATAACCTTACATTACCTCATTTTAAGCTATCACTATTGCCACGTATGTCTGAGACTTAACTTCAAAAAAATTAAATAAAAAATTAATAATTATAATAGTTAATAATAATTAATAAAAGTGGATAAAATGTAACTAAATAAAGTTAAAAAGTTAAGAGTCTAAATTGTAACTAAGTTAACTTAAAATTAATTAATTTTTTAATTTTTTAATTTAACTTTCATCTTTTAATTAACACTATCCAATCCTATTAAATTCCCAAGA